TTCTATTCAAAACATATAAAGGAATTACATGTTATAAAACACGGATGGACTCCTGCAAAAGGAAAAGGACATCAGTAAAGACCTGAGGATGTCTAAATAAAGTATGGTTTTAAGTTAACAGTACTAATATATGAATATTGGTTCATTACTCGAGACACATTACTACTAGTAAAGTAAAGTAACTAATAATGCGGGACTGGCTTTGGGGCGTAAGAGAACTCTCTGTACTATCTTCACAATAACTCTATAAAACTAAAAGTGTTATTGAACTTCCCTGGTGGGACAGTGGATAACAATCCACCTGCCACTGGAGGGGTCACGGGTTCGATCCCGGTCCAGGAAGATTCCACATGCCGCAGAGCAACTAAAGCCCGTGTGCCACAACTACTGAGCCCATGCTCTAGAATCTATGAGCCACAACTACTAAAGCCCCTGTGCCCTGGAGCCTGCACCCCACAAATACACAGTCGACCTGCTGCAGTTACTGAAGCCCAATGCCTAGTGACTATGCTTCACAACAAGAGAAACGCCCACAATGAGAAGCCCATGCACTGCTACAAAGAGTACCCCTGCTCTCCACAACTAGAGAAAGGCTGCAAGCAGCAATGAAGACCCAGTGCAGCCAAAAAATAAATAAATAAATAAATAAAAAGACTATTCTAAAATTTTAAAATTATTTTTAAGAAAAGACATTCAAAAAATAGTAAAGCTGGCCTTAGAAATGAGGAATAAGCAGGCACATGATACCGTTTTAGAGAACAGTCTCAACAGCACAAATGCTATCACTTATCATTCAGCTTCATCCATTTGAGCACTGTGTCTTACAGAGTCTTCTATATTTAAGAATCCTTTCAAAACATAGAAAGTCTGGTGCCTGCAGGCTTTGTATAGAACAGCAATAATGGACTTGGGAAATGGATTATTTCAGATTAGATATCAGCTTCTAGCATGTCCCAGCTCCATTTACTAACATATCTGTGCTTCAGCTTTCTCATCTAAAAAATGATGTTGGTAATAATAATCACATTTTATTGGGTCGTCCAGAGATGAAATAAATGAATACATGTAAATCAGTAGAATAGAACTTGGCCCATATGTGTTAATTAAGTGTAAAGTTTTTAATTGGTCTATTCACTCAACAAAAATGGACCACCACCCCAAAGAGGTTATGTTTCTGTTTATCAGAAACAGTAAACTCTCAGAGGGGATTCAATTCCACCAGGGTCTGATAAAGAGAAAGAAGGATTTGTAGAAGCAAATGGAATAAAAACTATCATCTTAGCTCACTTTGTCAAACCAAGGTCGGCTTATATAAAAGGAAAACTAAATTTCTTCACATCTGGTTTAATTTCTTAGTCCTCAAACCTAAAATGTTGGCAGAGTCTATATCACAGTATCAATTTTAAGGTATTCTGCTCAGAAATAATCTTCTAAAGAGGGTTCTTTGGTGTTTTGAGACACCTACAGATTTCTGCCTGCAGAGAAAATCACAAGGCTTTTCAAACTTCAGCCTCCAGAAAAACTTCTGCAAGCATTCAACAGCTTCCACAGCCTTTCCCCTCCAAACTTCTCTTCCAGAGAAGCACCTTGAACAACAACAAAGAGCATCCATAATGATAACTCTCTGGTCTCTGTTCCAAATATTTATCTATTAATCCCAAAACAGTCACAAAGTAAGCCAAGCCAAGTGGCTTAGCCTTGACAAAAGGTTTCCTTTTCTTCTGAAAAAGGAAGGAAAGCAATACTTTATTTGGTATACCATTCCTGCCTTCCAAATGTTTTCTCAAGTAACAGGAAGGAAACAGGGAAAAATGTAGGGGGAGAGGACTAAAGTATAGTACTAACAAAACTATTACAAACAAGGAAAGTAGGAATTTTCTGACTCTGATAATAGATTCAATACACAGAGAAGACAGATCCATGTACTGACATTTTGTCCATAGCTGCACAATTATTAAGCTATTCATCTAAACCCAGGATGTCAATCTCATTTTCTTAAGTAAAAATGAACATCACAAAAATTTTGTAAACACTAAGCTTCTACAAAGAATAATTGCCTTTAAATCCTTGAAAATAAGGTTCTAAATGTGTAGGTTTAATATTTTCCTCATGTGTTTCCACTTGAATTACCTGGTATATGTTAGTGGGAAATTATTTTTCACATCTAAAATCTTTCTGTGAATAAAAATCTTCAACAGAACAAAGACACAGTGGTTAAAAAACTATTAAAAAACAGTAAAGGTAATAGTGCAAGAGCCTGACTACAGACTGTGCCCGAAATTCCATTATTAAAGGAATACTATTTCAAAAGAGTTTCTATATGTCTACTGTATAGTTTCTGAGACAACACTTAACTACACGAAACTGAGAAGGGGAAACAGGAATTAAAAGGGCTTAAGCTAAGTCTGCAAAGTTAATTTTATTAAAAGTTGCAGCTTTTAATAAAGCTGGTTGGTTATCTGAAACATAGTTTCATAATATATACTCAAAGATCACACAATCAGACAAACAGAAGTAAGTCACCATTCCAATTTTAACTTAATGACTATCTTATACGCAATAGATAGATCATACAATTGCACAACGCAATAGATAGATTATATAATTGCACAAAGATTTTATACATTAGAAAAGATATTAGTGGAAAGATACTAGAAGAGGACGCAGTTACACCAGTGAAGGAAGTCATTTGCTTCTAAAGCTGGGGAGGAAAGATCACAGCAGACAGTTAAACTATACAATACTCCAAGTAGGTAGTCACCCATTAAAAAAAAAAGAGATCAATAATAGAGATGCAAAATTGTTCTCCTAAAGCTCTATTTATAAATTGAATATTCATATCAAAATATATTTTTTAATTTTAAAATCAAAATGTAGTTGACCTCCAAATTATAAACTGCATTTCCTTTCTGACTTCACTACTGTTTTGTGATAAGAGCAAGAGAAGAACAGTATTAGAAAATAAAATGAAGGTCAAACCAGAGTTCATATAATTTACATATATACAAGTTCTTTCTATTTCAAGACTTTCAATTTACTCACTTTCATCCATATTAGCTCAATAAGATTCCACAGAAATGGCATTTCAACTCAATCAAAATACAGAGGATGTTATTATATTTTGAGCTGTGATCTTAGAATTTACACTATGCTATTTCTGTGACTATTTTTTGTATTTCTATGTTAAATTGAGGACTTTTCCTTAATTAACCTTATTGATAGGGGATTCAACATAATGAACTTTGGAAAGTCAAATAATTGTAAAAAATAAGAGTCTTTAAAGTGCTGGTGAAAAGGGAGGAAATATGAGGGACACAAAAGGGAGAATCTTCTTTTAAGTACTGAGAAAATATTAAAAGGTTCTTTTAAATTTATTAAATTAAAAAATAATAGTTTTGAAAGATTACCACAAATCCTTCGACATGTGACAAGTTTAATTGTAAATAATAGGAGATGAAAAGTGAAGAGTATAATGAAAAACTCTTGTTGGCTAAAGCGTTCATGATGAACTCATCATGCACCATCCTTAGTCTAATGTTAACTGAGAAAACAGGGAAATATAAATGCTAAGCAGAGTTAAGGTGCTAATCAAATGTTTATTTCAATCCATGAATGATTCTGCACATTTAAGGCATATTCAAACCACTATAACACCAAATTGAGGAACAAGGTAGCAATAACATGTCATAGCCAATAAAATGTTCCCCATGAATCACTTGAGGAGATTACCAAATAATACAACATGTTATATTGACTGTGAACATAAAACTGGTCTATTTAAAAAATAATTTATACATACATCAATACATGTAGTACACATTTATACATTATATAAAATGGTTATGCCTAGTTTTAAGGTTTTGAAGTATGAATTTATACTCCTATTTGGTGAAAACATATTCAGGGACTAAAAACATAAGCCTCTTTTAGTAATTTTGGACTCTCAAATCTATAAATTTATGTAGATTCTTTCAGAATTCATCTTGTTCCAAAATAGAAATTTCTACTTTTTTTCCAAATGTCCATGTCCTGTCTCTTTAGTTACACTGCTGAACTTTTTCACAGGCAATGACTATGTTTCTAACTGTAACATTTAGTCTAAATAAATGCCTACAGAGTTCAAACTAAAAACTTCAGTAATTATAAATCAGCATGAACCAAGAAGCCATATATGAACCTTCTGCTTGGCATTCATTTGCATGTTATACTCTTATTTACTTTTTTCCTAGAGGCAGGCCATTGGTGAGTCTACATGTAAATTAAATTAAAAAATAGCTAATTGGGAGAATTTTTTATGGTTTCACTTATATCTTTTTTAAAAATTCAATATCCATTTTCTTCATCTCTGATATGTTTTTAAATGTATATGTTTTGCTATCATTAAAGATATCATGAAAACAGTAACACATTTTTCAAAATGATATAAAAAATCAGAACTTTATTGACTTAAATTTACTCAGAATGTATGCAGAGTACTGCAGCTTATGTAGCAAGAGCTTCCTTTTCAGTGGAAAATCTGAATATGAGTATATACAAGTACATGCCACTCAAAAGTATCAAATTGATTAGTGACAATAAAACTCCATTTGAATAGTACACTTCACATTCATACAAAACAATTAAAAATAACCTTTAAAGCAAAATCTTAAAAGTCCAGGTTCTAAGCAAGCAGCATTTTGACAAATAAAGAAGAGCTGAGCTTCATTTGGGGTTGCATTCATTCTTCTGAGGCCACAAATATAGAATTTTTGGATCACTAATTTTAATACTAACAAGTTCCAAATGCACGCCCTGCATGCATGCACACACAAACACACATACACATTCTCTTTCTCATTCTTATTCCCTCTGCTGCTGCCCTGCCACCCTCCTCCTCGCCCTCCCCCTCTCCTCTCCATATACAGATGTACAGTCATATGAGAGAGTACAGGGTAAATAGCAGACAATAAAAACTGGCTGGGGAATTTTATAAACAACATAAAAATCATGAAAACACTTACTTCATCAGCCACCATACACCTGGAAAAAATAAAAATAAAACCAAATTAATGTCTTAATTACCAAAGTCAACCATTTAAAAAGTTTTGATTAAGTGTTGTTGTGTTAAGTAGCTTGCCACAAAACAGTTTCCACATTATAGCACTAAGCCAGACAGAGGTGTTTGTAAGTGTGCATAAGAATAAGGGCCTTTCCTGACTTACAAGACTCTCCAGCTGCCAATGGCATATGGCTATGTGGGACTGTTAGTTTCAGATATGCTGTTTCCCAACGCCCACCCATGGCGATAGGTACAATGACCCTTCGAAAACGTAAGCAAAACGGCAAGTGATTGTACCAATGACTTCCCTCCTTACTCGTAAGGTTTATTGGTCTCCCCTAGAGATTAGAATGCTATATTAAAGTGCATTAGCATGTTATACATAAAATTATATTAATATATGCTAATATTATACATGCTAGGCCACTTTCAAGCTGAATTTTGTTTTCTACTATTACCAACCTAGATGGTATATTAAAAAGCAGAGACATTACTTTGCCAACAAAGGTCCGTCTGGTCAAGGCTATGGTTTTTCCAGTGGTCATGTATGGATGTGAGAGTTGGACTGTGAAGAAAGCTGAGTGCTGAAAAACTGATGCTTTTGAACTGTGGTGTTGGAGAAGACTCTTGAGAGTCCCTTGGACTGCAAGGAGATCCAACCAGTCCATCCTAAAGGAGATCAGTCCTGGGTGTTCATTGGAAGGACTGATACTGAAGCTGAAACACCAATACTTTGGCCACCTCATGTGAAGAGTTGACTCATTGGAAAAGACCCTGATGCTAGGAGGGATTGGGGGCAGGAGGAGAAGGGGACGACCGAGGATGAGATGGCTGGATGGCATCACCAACTCGATGGGCATGAGTTAGAGTAAACTCCGGGAGTTGGTGATGGACAGGGAGGCCTGGTGTGCTGCGATTCAAGGGGTCGCAAAGAGTTGGACACGGCTGAGCTGAACTGAACTGATTATTTCACTAAATTTTCTCCTAACTATTCTTTCTTATTAACCTACAGAAGTAAATTCTATCCACTGGAAATTGAGGATGGTCGTAATTAGAAGAAAAAAGCAAAGAACAAAACAAAGGATAGCAGATATGGTCAAGATCACAAGAGGTCCTTTAGAGACAGTGAGTACAACATAAGGAGAAAAACCAATCTCTTAACCAAGGTGATATCCAGGAAATAAAAAAAAGAAAGAAAGAAAAACTGGGATATTATAAAAATCAGAAAGGAAAAAAGTCCCTATATGCATTTTTCTCTTTTCTTTAATCCCAATGGCCTTGACATTATACTATATTACATGCTTTCTTTTAACATAAAACACAAATGAAGAATTTGGTAATAAATATATTATTAAGAAATAACCTACAGGTAAAATGGAATTTTGTTCTTAAAATGAAAAAAAGATGGCAGGTTACATATTAAGTTTTTATGGGAAAATAAAATACAAATACTCTTAACTGAAATTTAAAACATATGCAAGAGTAACAAGTTTATTACATTTTTTGCAAACAGGCTGGAAAAATAGAAAACGAAAAAGCAATACTTTGAAAAATATGACTTATTTCCAGGAAGATTTACATGTATACCTACTTCTTCATTTTAAAATCCAATTCAAATTTGGTCAAGATGTCATTTGAAGTATATATTATTTATTGAGTGCCTGTCAAGTAATTCAGTAGGAAGAAAAGGGAGTGACGGAGGATTAGATGGTTGGATGGTATCACCGACTCAATGGACATGAGTATGAGCAAACTCCGGGAGATGGGGGAGGACAGAGAAGCCTGGCTGCTGCAGTTCATGGGGTTGCAAAGAGTCACACACAACTTAGCGACTGAGCAACATTATGTAACTAGCACTGTCATAAATTTGTGTGCTCAATCGTGTTCGACTCTTTGTGACCCCATGGACTGTAACCCGCTGGCCTCCTATTGTCCACGGGATTTCCCAAGCAACAATACTGCAATGGGTTGCCATTTCCTCCTCCAGGGGATCTTCAAGACCTAGGATCAAACCTGCGGCTCTTGCATTGGCAGGCAGATTCTTTACCACTGAGCTACCTGGGAAGCCCAAGTCCTAGGGATATAGTATTTAAAGGTTTTTCCTCATAAAGGGTGACTGGAAGAACTTCTGACAATGAACAAATAAATGATCCAAGTGGTGATATGTGCCATTAAAAAAACTGAAACAGGCAAGTGGAATAGGGAATTAAGGGAGTATCTATTTTATAGAGTGGTCAGGAATAATCTTTATGATAAAGCAATTCAAACAGATCTGAATAAGTTGTCACGAATTTAATGAGGAAGGGAATCATGAGAAAATCTGGAGGAAGAGTACTCTCAACAAAGCAATGAGCAAATGCAAGAGCTCTGAGATAAGATGGTTACGAGGTAGTTAAGCAAGCGGAGGGAGTCTAATGTGATTAAAATGCACTGAGTCATGGCAAATGGTAGAAAATAAGGTTGGAAGCACCTTAGGTCCTGACCATGGACAGCCATAGCAATGGCATGAAGTCTAGATTTCCTTAGAATCCTTTGGAAGTAAGCAACACTTAACTTTTTAAAAAGATTACTCTGGCTTCTAGAGAATAAACTGTAGAGGACAAGAGCAGAAACAGAGAGCAGATAGGGACCTGAAGTGGAGCAGGAGAGGAACAACATATGGATGCATGAGAGAGACAGAGGTGCTGAAGCGGTCAGTCTAGACACATTTTGAAAGCACAGTCAATAGGATATGCTGAACAATTGGGATAGGGATATTATGGATATGAAACAGGGGAAAGAAGTAAAAACTGAATCAAGATACTGGCTTAAGCAATTAACTGTGAAAAAATGGTGGTAATGCATTTACTGAGAGAGGAAGGGTGAGGAGAACAGCAGGTTTGGAGATCACAATCAAAAGTTCTGTTTGGGGGACTTCCCTGGTGGTCCAATGGTTAGGACTCCAAGCTTCCACTGCAGGGGGCACAGTTCAATCCCTGTGGAAGCTCCCTGTTGGGGAGCTAAGATCCTGCAAGTTGCAGCAAGGTTAAAAAAAAAAAAAAGTTTGGATCTGTAACGTTTCTGTAACGTTTCATTAGATACCCCAGTTGATTTCTGGTATCCATTAGATACCCCAGTTGATCTGTTGGGTGGGGCACAGGATATGTGAGTCAGGGGAATAGCAGGGAGTGATATAATAAATCTGAGAGTCATTAGAATGTAAAGGCATTGAAATGAGAAAGGATCAAGGATAGTCTGTAATATAACACCTTGACTGTGGCTTGTTTTCTTTGCCCAACTCCAAGTTCCTTAACTTTCTCAAGTTAAGCAGCTACTGTGACCTGCAGGCTGCTAGATAAAGTTTATGACTCTAGTGAAGTAACATCAGAGCAAACTGTTAGGCAGCTAAATCACCCCATGGATGGATCCCTGAAAAACAGGATCAGAGCCCTGGGCAACAACTGACACAACTGATGGCTGTGGATCACTGCCTTGGCTTGGCTTTTAAGTATCTGAAGACCCCAGGTGTAAAGTTATCTTCCAGCCCTCTGCTTATGCTGGATTCTCCTAACATGAGACAGGTGGGTCTTCCCAACTTTGGAAACCAGGACAGTTCAAGTACATCAAAGAGCACTGAGCTTCCTTCAGGTATTTCTAGTGGGGCTGACTGTCCTTCAAATTTAGGCACTATATCTGTCCCAACCTCTGGCAGTCCTGCTATTTACAATAGTTCAGCAACCAGACTTGATTTCCAATGAGCTATCATAGAAACAGAAATCACTGAAGCTGAAGCTCCAAAACTTTGGCCACCTGATGCGGACAGCTGACTCATTGGGAAAGACCCTGGTGAAGACTGAAGACAGAAAGAGAAGAGGGTGACAGAGGATGAGAGACTGTAAGAAGGTATCACCAATTCAATGGACATGAACTTGGGCAAACTTTGGGAGATGATGAGGGACAGGGAAGCCTGGTGGGCTGCAGTCCATGGGGTTGCAAAGAGTCAGACACAACTTGGCGACTGAGCAAGAACAATAACAATCATAGAAAAATAACTGATCATCTGAGGGGCTCCATCATGTGAAAAAGCAGAATATGAGTAAATCATCAGAACATATATCTAGTGAAGGAGAAGCGCTAGAAAAACTAAACACCTGCACAAAAATTGTTATAGCACCTAAATAAATTCTAATGCAACACACACACACTCCCTTCCATGATTTCCAAACTAAAATGAGTAGATAAATTTTTTAAAAAGATCATTATTACTGACAGCTAAATCAGTAGACTACGAGAGAGATGAAGTGCAAAGAAAAATCACTTGAAGAACAGAACCTGAAAACTAATGTGAAAAATTGGTGTTCAAAAGGAGAAAGGACACAATGTATGAAGGAGAAGCAAAAATTAAGTAAATAAAAGAAAATTTCTTTGGGTTAAAGAAAACACCTCTGATGGATAAACGAAATGGGGAACCACATTTCAGGGTGAGCCGAAAAGAAAAGACAAACATCTACTCACATCCTTATAAAATTCATTAATCTTATGAATAAAAAGAAAACCTTGTAAGTATTCAGACTGAAAGAAAAATTATCAATAAAGGGGAAAAAAAACAACTGCATTGCACTTTTATCATCAACATCAGAAAGTAAAAAACAATGGAAGCTAATCTAGACTACTTGAAAGGAAAGAAGAATTCATGAGTCATATCCAGTTGAGATACCCATTAATTAAAAGGGATAGCAAAAAGACATGTAGCTAATCAAGATCTCCAAGATTATATCACTTAAGCAAACCATTTGAAGAAAAATACTTGAGAAAAATAAAGTTTTTTTTAAAACTTTAAACATAAAAAACATAAAACATAAAAACACCTTAATATAGATTCAAGATAGAAGATGAAAAGGAAATGTGATTGGCAATGAACCGATACATACGTGAATTTAGTGGATGATGTATATTCTAAATGAAGACTCTACAAGTGGAAGGACCTCACTCTACAATCTGA